TGTTGAAATTTGAATTAATGTTTCCAATTATTCTACTTTAGCACCTTTACAGGGCACGCAAGTTTGTTCGGAAAATATGCATTTTTTGTTGAATGACTCAATTTGTCATTTGGAACATTCATACTCAAATGTCATGCGCAAACACCACTCCGATTTAACCCCTTAGGCATTAAACCCTTTCATGAGTGCTCACCAAGGAGGGCAAGACTGAACACCTGTACGCGGTGTCCTCTACGAAACTGGGAGTGAAATATTCTCCCAGAGCTAAGTTCAGTCAAATTTCACAACATCAATGAAGTTGGCCCTCGAGGCAAAAATTCAAATTACTCTACCACGTCGTTTTTTCGCTCCCAACGAGTTTGACGCCTACCTAAGTCTCATCAAGTCTACAAGTACGACCAAGTACATCCTCATCCCAATGACCACACCTCTCTTCAACCTTCTCTAGCCTCAGTTGACCACCAAATACACGCCCACGCCGACATTTATACCCGACAGAGGAAGCAAAGCGTGGCGCACAAATCTGGGAGATAGTTCTTTGGAATGAGCGTGAGAGGATTCAGGACAAGTTGACAAGATGATGCGAAGGAAGGATATTAGCTCGAAGGGCGTGAAATTCTGAATTTTGGCAAGAGCTTTACGAATTGAGCTTTGTGAGCGCCAAGACTTCGGACGAGAGAGAGAGGTGTGTGTTTATTGTACTACGTGAGTCTTAGACTATCTAGCACATTGGGCTCCTATGTGGCCCAGGCCATACCTTGTACACTATTCCTTGCCTCTTAAGTTTCTGGAAAGATCATTGATATATTGCTTATGATGAATAGCCATTCAGCTCAGTGTTTACCCGTGCATTGGAATATTATCGTGTAATAGATGATACTAGAATGATATGAATAATGAATCCCGATAATATTCGATTGATTGCTTGCTTATTATTGTTGTTACTTCTATCTGAACATAAAGATATCGCTATATCATATACAAGTCTCTTGTGTTAGTCTTTATCCCACATGACTACGCCAGTAATACTTGATCGTAAACTGAGACTCATTTACTCATTTTCATCTCCCGTTGCCTACGTATCACTACACCCTAGGTTCACAACTATGGCACAATGCTAAGTATATATGATACTCCTTGGCTGCGACTTCCTGACCCGGATGCTTCAACCAAGCATATTTGACTCTGCCTCCAACTCGTCATGCGTGGTGGCTTGACGCCCCTGCCAAGATATCTATCAAAGACCTTGTATCTGTCGTAAATAGACATTTACAAGTCATGCTCACGATATTCACAACAGCCAACTTCATTGATATTGCGAAATTTGACTGAACTTGGCTCTGGGAGAATATTTTACTTCCAGTTTCGCAGAGGACACCGTATACAGGTGTTCAGTCTTGCCCTCCTATCACGCCTATCTGCCACCTTCAATTCTTGTCCGCAGTAGGACTCCGGAAACCTGGATTAGAAATTCTTGCCGCAAATTTTTAAAGTCGGTTGGTTATCGCATATTTTGCGCCGCGTCTCTCTGGGACGCCGACTGGACGTAATTCTCAGTATCGTTACTACGCATCAGACGAACTGCGTATGCGCCATCGATGTGCTCTTTCGCCCTTGATAGCAGCTCTTCTGGCCACAATTTATCCGCTCCGTCGATTCTTACACGTACCGCTGTTTTAGAAATTTGCTGAACTACGACTGATGCGTAGGTCCTTATTTGCGGCATCCCCGTTGCCACTCCTGATGCAGCATTACGAACGGGATCCGCGAGGTTCTTCTTGACAACCTGCTCTAGTGCAATAGTCCTCTCCTCGATTGGAGACTTCTTCAAGGACATCTCCATCCAGGCACTTTTGTGCGCGTTGAAAGCTTTCACGGGCTCGTTTACGTCCTATATTGATAGTAAATCCTCCTCATCCATCTCACCCATGACGATTAGTCTAACCTGTTTAAGTAGTTTCCCCAATATTTCAAAGTTCCTATCCTTTGCAGCTGTCTGCGCTCCGCTGCCGTTATTTGCGGTCGCCATTGTCGCTTTTTGGGACGTGTCGAAACCGTTAGAATAGCCTACACCAGCACCCACGCTCGTCATGCTGGAGCACGGAAAGCGAAAAGATGTAAGGAGGGTAAGGAAGATTTAAAAATGGGATTCACGATGTCAAATAGATAATAAAAGTAGCGTGGAGCGCTGCGCAGCTATCTGGCGAAAACGATATCTTTCTCTCTACTTAGTATCGGAGCGCTACATAAATTGATTACTACCAATAAAAGAGAGACACGATTTTCTTACTTAAACCAGATAACTGTGTGGCTGGTCAATGTATGAGATATCATAAACCTGGCTGGTAAATCTTTTCCGCTTTCTATGTTCCATGTTAATAATAGTCTTCATTATCAAGTAACACCAGTTTCAACAACACATGGGTGTCGTCCTCTTGATGAATCCCATGATTTATGAATGGTATCAACTGAGGAAATCTTTTTTAAAATTTTAATTGATGAAATTAGTTATATCAATTCATGATTCTGTTCTAATCAAACTTGTCATTGTCACCTTTAGAAGAAACTCGAAACTCATACCTAGCTATTATATCCATGAACTCCCTCTGCTGAAGCAAGAACCTAACAAATACCGGAAGTGGAATTTTGTACACTTTGGAGTTTTGCTTGGGATTGCCTGAGGTGGAATAGAAAAAAGTGGTTCGGGGATTTCTCTTCTCAACACGAGTAGGTGAGGATGGCGTTAGTGCTGAAACTGTCGGAGATAGTCTACGAAATCGACATTTCCAGACCGTGCAGCTAATAGATGTTCTGGTGTGCGTCGCCTGAGACGGGGGAGCTCGATGGTGATCATAGTAATACGACCAATACCTAATTCTTTATAGTTGTACGCTGGGTTAACTACCCAATAGAGTGCAACAGAAGCCTGGTATTGGGCCCTGTCTCCCGTCCTTGCCCTCACAATGGAGAGGTTCAAGTATGGAGCCGGAGCCGCTCAGGTGGTTTAGGCGAGCGCGTCATCGGTTTCGTTTCCGATAATTTTTAATTTTTTTTTGCATCAGATTTTAATTGCGTATGCAGCAATCTAGCTATGACACAATATCAAAGAAAAATACAGAAAAGATGACTCAATTTACAAGAAGAGCACTCATGCCTCGGATTTCATTTGCAAGTACCACTGCGATGCTATGGTGGCTTTTTGTTCAGCCCAAGTCAACCCTCATCCGTGAATACCCACACAGGGGAACGTCTCAAAAACCCTGAGTTATCCAGACATGCCTCTATCATCTTTCAACTTTTCTCCGCGCGAAATATGGTCTGAGGCGTCTCCTTCCCAAGTGGAGTAGGTGCCCAGGCTATTCAGACTATACCGAAGAACACCACCAGGAGGCGGACCGCAACACCTTCCATCGCTTGCTTGCTTGTATAGTGTCTACTGCACTCTCGCAAGCGAGGTCTTGGCGCTCACAAAGCTCAATTCGTAAAACTCCTTGCCAAAATTCGAAATTTCACGCCCGTCGAGAACGTACCCCTCTTCTGCATCATCTTATAAACTTGTCCTGATCCCTCTCACGTCCATCCCAAAGAGCTATCTCCCAGATTTGTGCTCCACGCTTCAACAGGGTTTGTTTCGCTGTCTCCTTATCCATAACACAAGGGCCCATCATGCAGGAGCGAGCTCAGTCTCAACGGCCATGCGTGCACGAGGCAATAGCCAGCCTTGTTTGCCGGCATAAATGAATGCAGGCGTCATGGATACACCTGTGCTTAGAGGCATGAGCTGCAGGCATTGTCTCAGCTTGCCTACCATCACACTTGTCCCGCGGTTTATCATGGTCGTGAGCGACGTCGGTGGTGTCAAAAGCACAGATCAGAGAATGGACGCGTGAAACCTTTCAGCTCAGGATCGAAAATGTATGTGACTCAATCCCGGCTTGCATGAGCCCAGGCGCGAGTTGCGCGCCCGCACAGCATACCGCCAGCAGTCGTGGATTCAGCGATCCCCTGACTATCCATTAGCGAAGTGTGAACCTTGTCGGCTTACACCCTCTTCGCATTTCCACTTGAGGTTAAATAATTGAGTCGTATTCTTTCATTCCCTATGACTAGATGACATATCGGGGCTCGCGCCACCATATGGGGCAAAGAATTGTGTGGCCCTTAACCGCTGATAGATTTTCACATTGCACTCGGCCGGGGGTGTCGGCAGTAGATTAAATTACCCGTGACGACTTTCCGACCCTTGATTATCAACCGAGAACTAGTACACTATATCACATAGAGCCCAATTGCCTGTCAAGCAGCGCTACCTTAATATTGCCTCGACAAATAAGACAGAGGGAAATGAGAGTATTCGTAGTTAACGCTTCACTGACTCGGGTTGGCCGTTAACCGTTGCACCTTCAAGATGGCTGTGCACACATCTGCCATCATCTCACCACCAGAATTTATTGCTAGCGCTGAGCTGGGCGGTAGTGGTTTGGAATTTATGCACGAGAGCTTTAGGAAGGATTATTTGCTTTTTATTTCATTCATATTCGTCTAACCTGTAATACAACTAAAATATAGAGGGCAGCTTAATCCCCGAAAGATCCAAATAGGTAATTACCTTCATTAAAGACACAGGGGAAAAATATTAGCTGGCTGACCTAGCCATTTTCAAGTTAGGCTAATCTTGTTTCTTGCTGGTTAGGGGCCGGCCCTCCACCCATGCTAAGTGAAATAGTTCAATCCAGCTCGGAAACCCTCCTACAATGACAAAAGACGTGGATATCGAACGTCTAGCCTTCGAAATGACCGGGCATAAAATTAGGCTTAAGAAGAAATGAGGATGTGGATGCCGGACAGGCAAAAGATAGTTAATTGAACTCGTCTCATGAATCTACGTCAAAACTTCCTGCAGAATATCTTTTCCCCGCATTAAATTATATGAAACGAGGTCAAGTGAATGTGTGGGGGCGATAACTGGCAGTGAAGCGTGACTGGATCATTGTGCTCGGCTACGGAGCAGTTGCTGAAATTAAGCGCCTGGCGGCAGCTGAAACAAATGGATGGCTGTCACAATGAGTAGGTGAAGTTTGGGGAGAGCTTGAGCAACCGTTGCCAAATCTCTGAGATCCATTGGACTCCGAGGGGGTAGACATGTGGAAAGGGGATGCAGGTGGTGTTGTGATGGAAATGCGAGTCTTTCCTACGGCAGGTGTCGTCTGACGTGCCAAGCTTCTTTCAATCTGCTCTGCCCGTTCAATCACACGGCGATGTTGATCTTTTTCTATTCACGGATTAGTACATTAGCCTCCTTGTCCATCAGGATTCTCAGATAGACTAACGAATGACCTACCGGAGTGATAATAGAGCGGATCGACAGCATCGAGGATAGCTTGGGCTTGTGCCTTGTGTTCCGGCCTGACCCAGCTATAAGTCACGGCCCACGAAGGATGCTTTTCGACAAGCTTAAACGGAATATGCCTTTCCTCAGCCACCAGTCGCCGACGTACCTTAGCCTTGACTCGAATAGGAGCGCCGTTGCTCGATAAGAGTGGCTCACCGTTCACACTAGCGTATGTGAAGTTGTCCCGATAGCTGCGTGACGTCAAGGCCGCTTCCGACTCGCGTTCAATGAAGCCAGGCTGATGACGGAAAATGTGGTTGAACTGGCGGTAAACGACACCCCAGGGCAGGTGAAGATCTTCCTTGAGATAGCGCACGCAGTGCAGGTGCTCGCGTAGATAGGGCTGATTGCAGTGGTTAGCGGCTCCTCTTTGGCTAGTGGTCTCGGGTGAAAGCGGAGGAGTAGCTCGTTGCCTTCGCTTTTGACTCCCCCACGTTAAATCTTGACTATGAGATAGGCGTTTTGAGGTTTTCCTCTGCGATTTCATTTGGTGATCTAGGAGTGGCGAAGAATCTAGCCGGCTCAGGCCTATCTTAACTCCGTCGTGCCATTCCTCTTGATCGTCATCTAGTTGGCCCGAGGAATGAAATGATACAATCGACGGCAGTTTGAGGAATTCGGCGGTTGAGCCCTCAATTGTCGTAGTTACTTTCGGTAATGGGCGCGGACATTGGATGACTGAAGCTGACCAGAAGTTGGATGCTATCATATTCCTTCCATCTAATTCCTTTGGCAGAGGGAGTAATGGAAGGTTTTTAGGATTTACTGTCCCTTCTGACAGTGGCTGACGTTCATCAGTTGCCAAGTGTTCGATATTCATCGGGTTGAGGATTGCCGAAAACTTCATCCGTTCTCTCACGTCAGATTGAGTGTATGCGTTCATGATGGATGGCTGACTGGAAGTACTAAGTTCTACCCTTCTCATAGTCATGATCGACGCAAGTAACCCAAAGTAGATGGGAGGAATTAATATTAGCAAGCAATGTGCTTGGTCAAATTGATGATGGATATTAATGCACAGGACAAGCGATGGAGGATAGTGTATGTATGGATGGGCATGATCCTTTTTGATGCAGTGGCTCGACCTGTAGTTATAGGAAACAACTGCACGTCTCTACCATTTGAGGCTTTCCCCCGAACGTGATGAGATTTCTTCAGGGTATGAATCTGTAACCAACGGCCATGATTCCTCATATTTACCCTACATGCATGATACGACATTGGCGGCTCCCTCATGTTGGGGATGCGTTCGGGATTGGGGTAGTTGACAGTACCGAGAGATGCGCGATAAACTCGACGACCAGAGAGGCCTAATGTGGACAACCCCCATCAGCCTTATCGGATTAGCGAGGAGACGCTCGCCGGGTCCTACTCTCTCGCAAGGGCACTACGGGAAATCGGCAGTAATGAGACGGGACCGCTGCGCAGTATTTGACGAGGCACTGCTCATAACTAAACCTTCCAATTTCCCATCTATACCTCTAAATGCTCGCGGCTCCTCGAATCTGCCGAATCAAGCCTCATCTACTCTTCATTGCAAGAACATGATCTCATCATAGAATTAAAATCATGAGACATGACTGAAGAAAGATTGTTCGCAAGAAATAAACATTGGGGCTGCTACGAGCTCAATACAGTATGATTACAGGGCTCCAAGGCGGAGATATTTGCGGGTCGTTATCGACAACATGGAAACCAGCAACTTGAGACGAAAGAGACATCACGGGAGACCGTCGATAACTCCAGATCCCAGTCGTACTGTTGGGATAATTGAGACTGATTGGGCAGGAGAGGGCTATGAAGCAGCCATCATATCAAGATCACATGGACCTTCGGCTCCGGCAGCTTGTTCACCACTAAGACCCGAGAAAACGGAGCAGGTCAGAGTGTCACCCGCGTAAAAAAGCTCATGGCCTTTTACCGCCGTGCCAGTTCCGCATAAGTATATGCAGGTGAGCAGAGTCTATCACACTGCCAGAACCCCGAGTCAATAAGCTTCCATTACAAACATGAAGTCCATGTTACTCAACTGCAGCAGGGTTAGTAGACGTGATGAGATTTATGAGAGGTCAGGTCGACTGCTGGATGTGGCTCCTGAGATCACGCGGGTATAGCACTTTGCCCTGCGGCTCGGTCCTACTATCACACCGAGGCAAAAATCTGCTGCAACTCTCGGGACGGTCGGGGAAATAGGCAAATCTTTTAGTCCTTCATTTGGCGCGCCGATCTTTTTATTCTTTTCGTCGCCATACAGGCGTCTTTTCCCTGACACCGGACCCAAATTCAACTCTTCTCTCCTTGTATGTTCGAGTCTAATGACTCTCAAATCTAAGCTCGTCTAACTAAATATCTATCAATTATTGTATGATAAATACAACACCGGCTTCTACATGCTCATATCCATCTCTGCACCGAAACGGTCTCCTCAAAAAACGCTAATTAACAGCATGTCTCTATACACTTTAGTTCTTTGATCATTGAGTTCATTATCTTCATCATATTTCATGCGAGGTTCTTCACCATCCATATTCTCCTCATTACTCGAAGACAGGCTTACGACCCTCAAAATCTTTTCCATAGAATCTAGCAAATATGTATATAAAACTAATATCAGATATAGAGCATCCAACCCGTCTTTGGGCTGTTACCTGATGTCTAAGACCAATTAGAAACTCCTGTACAAATCTAATCCAATGTAATCTCATCCCCGAACCCTATCAACTCAAGCCTCTACGCGTCGATCATATTCTTACTAGTGATGAAAGTTATGTGCACGGTCCTCGTTCCTGTTGGGTGGTAGAAGCAATGGGACAATTACCAACCCTTCTAAAACATGAAGTGTTACACTGTAACAAACTCGCATTAGGTAGCTTCTTGTGTTATAGAGATATGCAGGTGGGGAATGGGAACTTTAATTCGAAAAATCCGACATCAACTCGTTGTACAACCATGCACACTGCTGTACCATTACGATACCACTACTGTCTCATCCAATTCTCATACTCCTCAGCAAGGTGCCTCTTGAGCTCAGTAAACTTCTTCCCAAACATCTTCCCGCATCTCCAGCACTTGAGATCGCTGTTGAGATAGCCCTCTCTTTCCGGGTGTCTTCGCGGATCATCGCTGCCGAGTGGAAAGTCGGAAATCGGGATGAAAAAGTCGGTGGAAAAGCTATTGTAGTGTTTCCGATGCTTGAGGCATTTGGAGTGGCGATCGACGCTCAAGACGTGGATATGAAGGTGATTCATACTTGGACGAGAGTGGACGCCGGCCATGACCTCGCTCCGCCAGTCGCGAGCTTGCTGCTGCGACGCTGATCTGTCCGGGTTCGCCAATTCATACCTACGCTGCAACTCGGCCACCACTAGATCCGTGAGTTGCGCAACTTGTTGGCGGACGCACATCAAGAAGTTGGGTGACTCGAGTGCCTTGATCGGATGCTGTGCCGAGAGATGCGGTGCACGCGGTAGCAACAAAGTGTGAACGCTGGCCTTGGGATACAAGTCCCAGATTCCGACAAATTCAGGGTTCAAGAAGAGGATTTGACTCGTAGCTGCAGGCGATTCGGGCGTATTGATGTAGAGCCCTAGTCCATCTCGCCAGGAGACGTGCGGTGATCTCTTCTTCGGCTTAGGCGCCATGAGATGATGAACTATTAGCCAGCATTAGGCTGGTCGACAGCTTGGAGATGGAACAAAGATACATGCGTTGAATGAGACTAATTGAGAAGGCTGCGCATCACCTTTTGACCTTCCTTGTTTGGTGTTGCTTTCTTCATGATCGTCCACATTGGATAGCGATGCCATGATACTGTAAGCGCAATTGGGGGGCCAAATATTCTCTGAATAGTATGACGATGAAATTGAAATGTCTCCTAGTTTTGTTGTGTCCTTGGACCATGTCTATTTGTCGACTTGTATGTAGTATGGAGATGGGAAGGTGGGGCTCGAAGGATATGTGCCTTCGTCTCGCACCAGTTTTGCCTTGCCGTTCACAACACATCTTGTGGTATCACTCCATCTCAGCATATAAAAAATACGAGGATTGAGCAGTTCTAGATAGCACCCCTCAGTTGTAGATCTGTGGGGGTAATTTTTGCTAGTAAAAAGTCGTGAAGTGGGCATAGATACTCCTGGCCTGTAGGTCCTTTCTGCCTACATGACCTCATATAGTCATAGACTCAATAGGAAAATTAAAAATTATTTTACTAAGCAGCGCCTTTCCCGAGCTATAGGACGATGATATTTCATACTCTCGCGCCAACCATCTATTCAACTTTGGACGAAAAGCTGTGATTTGCACGACTATAAATGACCTTGCTTAACTTTTGTAACCCGACTAACTGCGTGAATAATGCATAACAACCCCGAAATATGGGCAAAGACAGCAGTAGATCCTAAAAATCTCTTGAATTGAAAGGGACAGTCGTGCCAGCTCTAGTAGTGTATTGAACAATAGAAGTGGGCGTCGACCGTCCAATGAATAATACGATCACAACGGGTGAGGCTTGACTAGAACTAGAGATAGAAAATATGGAATTGTAGGCAAAAACAAGGATCGGCGAGCAACGAAATTTTTACTTGTGAGTTGATTAACATACAAAGATGTATCTGAGAGGAACTCTGCGAAACTAGTCATGAGTAAGTGTGTTGGGCCTTCATAGTCACAGACTCAGTAGAGACCTAAATTTAGTTCTATTCTATTCAATACAATTCTATAGATATTGGGCTCCCATGCAATTTGGTCAAGAACTAGTCTAGGAGGATCGAGAAACCTATATTTTTAGGTGGGTACTTGTCTCAAAACACCATGTAGTCGATCATGAATCGCTGGCTAAGAGCCTTGGGAGGAACAGAGTCATTACTAGAGAAATAAAAATCTCCGCCGAGAAAAAACAGCAGAGGCGTACAAGTGAACAAGAAGTTATAGAAGCTGGCTATGAAAGTTCGCATCCGACTCCGTAGATATGTCAGTTAGCCATGCTAGTAATTAAGTCAGTAGACAAGAGGATTTCACTTTCAGACCTTCATATCTGTTAATACTAGACCATACTATCACTTCATAGCCATAAGTCGTCAAATCTTAGGATAAAAACTGAGCTTGTATCCCCTATGTCCTGTATGAAGCTGGTGTCGAAGTACTCTCAATATCGACATTGATAATATCTCAAAATTCAAAAGCTTATCCATAAGACAGTAATACAAGACTCCATACCGAAACTATCTTCGAATTTCAAAAATGTTGACTCTTATTAAAGGCTTATCAAGTCCAGGAGTGTGACTTAGAAGAAACTTATTTCAATGACTACAATTATCGTCAACTTAGCCTTTGGTCACAGCTGACCTCTAAATGCACTTCTAAAACAGTCCGAATACCTGCTGGAGGATAAAAATCGTAGTGCAAGAATCTGGCAAGGTGATTTGTTTGGATGAACGTAAGAGATGAGCACACCTGGGAATGATAAGGCTGAAGATAAAAGCAATGTCAAAAGATCTGGAATGTCGAAAATTTGGCTGAAGTTTCCCATGGTGAAGCTTTATGTGCTTCACTACTTGGTTTGCGAGAGTGTAGACAGCACCATCAAAACAGCCTTCGCTGGATGGTTTAGCAAGACATATTCCAGATTGATCTTAGTGATAATGTTTAGATAGCTTGGACACCTTCTCCACTTAAGACAGGAGGTGAATGGCTCCGATTCAGCTTAACTCAGCTATATCTCTCGCAGTGCTTGTGTATATGGATACTGAAGGTCTGTTTTGATAGCTAAAGGGCTTTAGTTTCCCTATGATGGGGTTTGGAAATATCGCGCAACGAAATAGGCGCAATATTTCTGAGAAGAATTAATGAATGGATATTTATTCGCGAAGGGCACAAGCCGAGTACCAATAGACCATGATAAGGAAAAGGCTTTTTCTTCCCAGACAACTATATACAAACATAACTTAGTTTGAAATTTTGACCACAAATGCAGTGGATGCTTTCGCTGATACCACTCGAGACTATTGTGCTATGGACTTTCACCCTTCCCTCTATCGTTAATATCCACCAAAGAGAAAACAGGGAAAACCTCTGACTACCCTAACATGCATTTCCCATCTTAAATATAGCCAACGCGCGAGATGTAGACCCACAGTTCACCCTTTCTCGAGTGAAGTAGGTGTCCAGGCTACCTAGACTTTCATTCGGAGAGACGACGACCAGGAGGCGGACCAGAACACCTTCCATTGCTGCCTGTTTTTAAAGTGTCGGTAGCACTGTCCAAATTGTAGCCTGACCGTTCACGGATACCCTAAGGTCGAAAATACTCGAGAAATATGAGTCCCGGCATGCCCTTATGTAACCTCCTCACTCGCTTGTCCCACGCCCCGGTTGCCTGTCCTCTCTCGAGATGTGAAGCCCATTAGAGCAGCGGTCCCCCATAGACCAAGACCCGCGCTTTGTAGATTATGACTTAATTTCCTCCTCGCAGGTATGCAAAGCATCGTAAATATGTAGTGAGAGATGGCCGTTTTTTGATGAGACAAATGCCCGATTGCAATTAGAGTAACGCCATTATCGGTATTTGAGGCGAGGTGGTGTAGTAAGATTGAGGTGGAGGGCTCGCGTAAGGATGATAGATCCGACATTTACGAGAAGTCATCGATTTTAGATGTACTTGTGAGTGCTTTCGACTCTGATTCGGATGCGATTCTTCTTGGCTATCCCAGATATACAGAGCATACTGAGCGATTACACCGGCACCACTGGAAGGTGAAGAATTCGTCTTTGCCGGCAGTCGTAGAAGTGATGATGATGATATTTTAATCGTGACCAGGTACTACCCAAGCACCCAGAGGGCATGGCAGGGTAGTCCGGATCTAAATATGACTTTTCGCTGCCTACATCATTATTTCGTAGAAACCTAGAAACACAAAACTAAAAACAAATAAAACCACCTTTCCTAAGGTGCGAGTGCCCTGCACTACACCTTAATCCTCGTACCATACCGAACGGTCCCAAGAAGCATCACGGTTGACCTTTGCACCCCCTATTCACGATTCAATCTTGCTGTAACAATTTTTTACAGTTAAAAACGCCAGAATTTCTGCCATCATTCCTGCCCTATCATATCCCTGATCGTAGGATGTGGCTCCTTCGTTTCCCTCTTCCATTTCTGGATAGTCGGGCGACAATCTGCAAAATGCCATGGCTATTAGAATATGATTCTCTTAGACAACTGATACAGGACTACTGGAAGTAGATTTGGTAAAGTATTGGGTTTAAAATACGGGACCTGTATTGTGACTCCTTTTCAGCACTCTCTCCTAATGCTACGACCTAGCTCTCACTACACGCTAATATGGAACAACTAATACAGGGTATATAAGATCTCCAAACGCCTTACCAATTATGCTCCTAAGTAAACAATAATCACAACCATATCTCCATTATCAACAATCACAACTATAACTCCGTTACTGTTGGTACGTATCAATCGGGAGGTGTATACTAGTATACGATATTGAACAGATAATTAACAAATACATTCTTCCTATTATTCTAGTATACTATGGCTCGTACAACTACATGGTCGATTAACTGATTACATAATATACCCTTGTACCTTGAGTATTTCTGCCAGCAATTATTTAACACATTGATCATCCAACTCAGACGCCTTAGATGCAACATTTACACCACACCTCCACGCGAATAAATAAATCTATCCACTCATCGATACCCGAGAAACCAAGCAGCTACATGGCTGCGAACAGCCAGCCGTCGTCCTCGGCATCAACTGAACCAGGCGACCTATTACACCCGAGCCTTCTTAGGATTGCCGCCGCAATGGAGCAGTCGGAACGCGAGCAAAAACAGCGAATGAGCGTAGCGCAAAATTTCCTACAAAATATCGATGCCTGGGCAAAGTCCTTGTCAGAAAATGAAGGCGCGCACTTAGTCGCGCCACTAATAGAAAATATTTCACCTATCGTATCAGCATTTGCGATAGGCAACGTCAACGCCGCAAGTCACCAAGGCAAGAAATCATCCCATGAAAGTACTCAGATAAAAACCTCTGTACCCATGTCGACAAAAATAGCGGAGAAACCCCATCACGATCTCCCTCAAAATCCAAGGGAAACTGCTTCTTCGTGGGTGACCATAGCCCGAAAAGCAGCCAAGCTCCCGCATCCGCCAGCCAACCTAGTAAAGCGAAGGCCTGTTTTGCAGTCAAAACCAGCCGGAAAAGAGCCTCCGAAAGAGGATAAACGACTCTTCGTTCGCATGGGACGCGAACATCAGTGGTCGAGGCTATCACCTGTCACAATTAAGAAGCTCTTCACTGAGAAAGCTGGAGTCACACCTTCAGCAATTATAGCGATGACAAAAGTTAGGTCTGGCCTAGCAATGGAGTGCGCCTCAGACGCGCTCAGGGAATCAATTCTTAGTGTAGGCCCTGCACTCCAAAATGACGAAATAGCAATCGAGCCTTTCTCAGACTGGACATCAGTCATGGTACCTCATGTCCCAATTTTTATCCGCACATATTAGATGGAGGAATTGAAGTAACCAGGGAAATGGTAAAGACAGAATGCCAGGCAGTTTGTGGGGTCACACCAATACAGGTGCGCCCGGACGACAAAAAATTAGGAAGCTATTCCGCTAGCTGGGTAATACACTTCAAACAAGTGCCATTTAATCCCAGATTTAGACTTTTTGACGAGAGTGGGCCAGCTATACCGTTCTCCCGTAAACGCCCCATAGAGCAATGTCAATGCTGCTGGGGCTACCACTCAACAAGGAACTGCGTCAAAGGACAGCGGTG